ATATGTCAACTCACATACATAAAATTTGACATATGACCGTAACTAACCAAATCACTTTATACTTGATCAAAGAGGCCAGATGTAGAGTATGCATACCACTTTTTAGGGTTTTCTTGACTCGTTACCTTGAATTTTGTTGTGACGATGATACCTTGCTCTGATGATGTTCGTCATATGATGAACGAAAGCTTGGCACCTTTTCACCAAAATCGAAGGAGATTGCCTCGGCAACAGCGTCAGCATGAATCTTCCAGTAAAGCCAATCGGCTGTCCTCTTCTGGTGGAACCGACCCTCGAATCTCTTCACGCAACACTTCCATTCGAAATGGAAGTAAGCTCAACAATTATGAAGCAAGAGATTCCTCGAAACCCAACTTTTCTTCGTATAGTCCAAAACGTCAGAAATGGCCAACTGGCCGGAGCAGTTCATCGAATCAAGAGTTGGGTGTAAAACAAGAGATAAGTGGCAACTGGGGCACGTCTTCTCCTTCCCCGGACCAACAAGTGACCCGCCTAGCTCCAAGCTGGAGTACCGAGACCTCTTGACGACGGCTGCTCTGACTGCCTTCGGTTGCCCTTGGATTCCGAACACGTCTAAATAACCCACGCAGGTTTACGGATAAAAGACTACGCAGGCCACCATCCAGAGCCAGACATTGACGCCGAAGAACGGCTTCCCAGCTCATTCAGGCACGAGAATGTGCTTCGGGAACAGCAGACCAACCCAATGGCCAGTCTCCGCGAGGCGGTTTGGACTATGCGCGCTCGAGGTGGCGTCTCTTTTTCTTGGGACCGCGTTCCGGCGTGAACAGACAACACGACGACAGGAACAGTGACCAGAAGAACTAAGGCGTTTATCAACACACAAGTATTCATGATAACCCCGGTTATTACAGCCATGAGACCAACACGTTAGGAGGAGGCATACAGAGACCAAAGGTCGGGATAACTGGTCGCACGAAGGAAACTTTTGTGTCACCCAACCAGAGTTGTTGTGCAGGAAATCGGTGAGCCGACCTTATTTTCGTGTGAATTTATCCGACAAAGAGACAAGTGGGTGGATTTCACCAGAAGACGGACGCCGATTCGACTCGAACCGATGTGACTCGGTCTTCCTGGGACACACTTCCTGTGTTTCTGTGAGCAAAATCGGCGGAGCTAGAACACATTTTTGCAGACCCCGAGCCCACAGCGAAGAGGAGGAACTGAACGGCCCATCTCTGATCGCCAAGTGAAAGCGCAATGAATTAATTTCCGGGGGTAGACGACAGTTTGGCAAATTCATTCCAGCCTCCATCCATCCATTCATGTGTACATTTGTGTGGATATGTGCGTGTGTGGCGATTATGACGGAGTGTGAAGTTTGTAAGGGCAATCAAGTGTGACGACCTCTTTGCGCCAGAGATTGCGTCATACCGGACACACGTTGGTCAGCCGAGACGCACAGTAAATGTTGTTGGTGTGTCAAGAACCTCGTAAAAAGTGACATGCTATAATCAGCAAGCCGATAAG